TGTCTTGTTCAATAACCTGTGAATCCTTTGGACCATTTTTGTATGAGACACACCAAGAATGTTCTCAAAGACATAAAGATCCTTGGCATTTTCTGGAGGAAAATATGAAACTCATTGCTGCCACTAAAAAGAATATCAATGAAAGCTTAAATTATAATGGACATCTGAAGTTTTGCACAGATGGAGAGGAAGATGGTCAAACTTTCAGTATTATTAATATTATTATTGTTCACTTTGTCTCAGGAAGAACTACTTTCTTCTAAATACATTTTTTTAAAGCAAGGAACTCTTCACCTTCTCAGGAATCCTTTTTGAATTTTAAATTTTTAGGGAGAAAATGACAAAGTACATTTTCTCCCCATAAGGCATATAAAAAACATTGCAGGGCAATACTATGCTAAGACAGAGCTGTCATAGTGTATTTTTTCCTGAAACCACTTATATGATTTTTTGTATTATCCCACTGAAAGAAAACTGAAATATATCTCAGGATTGCACTTGACTATAGTAGATCAAATGAGCTAAAATTCCCAACTTGATGGTGACTTCTTTAGCTCTGTTTGTGGAGCAATGGCTGAGGTGATAAGTGTTTATATGTGTCTATAAAGCAGAAAGCTCAAAACCTGCTTTGCAAAAGATTTTTGAAGATGGGATACTTTGAAATTTAATGCATCTCCTCATGTTTGGTACTAACAATGCCAGTGGTAGAGTTCAAATGGTGGTGTTTTTATACAAAAACTGGAAAGAGAAAAATTTCCCTTTATGTAAGATCTGTGAAAGAACATGAAAGAGTTGATGATAAGTCTTTTGTCTGCCTATTTTGAGTTCCCACAAACCTGTTCTGCTTGCATTGTTGCAATGCACCAAATCTAACATTCAGGTTCTCCATGTGCAGACCGTATACATGACATTCCTCACATATCTGCTTTATTGAAAGGGAAGTGTAGCTTAATATTACTTATTAGTAGATCAAGTACAAATAGAGCTATAAAATTCTAATTTGAACACATCTGGACTACTGTACAGGATGTAGGACTGACACTATAAAGAATATAGAAGAAATAACATAAAAGTGAAGAAAACATAGCAGGCAAAACATGGGAAGACTGAAGAGACAAAATTTATGTACTCTTTAAAAGAATACAAGGGACACAAGAACTGTAAAGTACCTTCAAAGTAACACCTTTAAATGAAGTCACTAGCATTGAACACAAACCAATGCACTTAAGAAAGAATTTCAAAGCAGACAACAGCAAATAAAATCCTGTTGTTGCATGAATTCCTAATAGAATTACTCAAAACCAGAACTATCCACAACTGGTGTAATGCTGGGGAAAAGATTAATTAATGTAATTGATATTTAACTGGTATTTATTTACAACCAAATAAAAGCCCAGACTTCACTAGAACAATTATTTTATATTAAATAATAATTTATTACTAGCACATGGCAATTGAAAAGTAATTACCATGGTTTTGGTATGTAATATTTTATTTTCTAGTCTCAGCAGATGGCTTTTTAATATTTTTGTTATTAACTGATATAGATAAATGTCTTATTGAATAAAAATTATATTTATATTTGAGGACTATCACTTAATCATTTACTTTCTTAATTTCCCATAGGATTCTTTTAGAGCCCTACCTGGTTGTTTTTTGGTTTTTTTTTTCCTCCTTTCTTCCCATCTTTATGCCTAAGGATACTAATAATGATGAAGTGAGTGTAGAAAGTCATAAGAATAATTAATTATTTGGCAGGTAGTAAAATATTTTATCTTTCCCAAACTGCACAGAATGTGCTTGTGATTAGAGAACAAATTTAATAAAACAGAGCATATTGATTGCCAAAGGGGGGATTTCTTCTTCCCAAACTAATGGTGCTAAGCACTGTAGGAGGCTGTACAAAGTAAAGTTACTTATTCAGACATCTGTCATCTGCAAGAGTGATCCAGATGTAGGAAATAGTGTAGCTGAGAAAAATACAATGATATTATCACAGATAATGCATGCAGAGAAATTCTGATGGAATGCAACTGTTCTTGATGTTACCATAATTCAGGTATTAAAGTACATGGGTATGTGGTCAGCTTTATTGTTTCACACATTTTGCATCTGAGGCTATCCAAGCACTGTCTCAGCGGCAAATATTTAAACTAAACACCTTATTTGTGAATCCATCTGATGCAAAAACTAGGTAGAAAATAACTGTCATGCTTTGTGAAATTTCTCTTTCAGAACCCACTAGTGTTTATTTGCAGGTAAGTGTTAAAATACTGCAACAAAATACAATTTTGAAAGACTTTAACAAGTGTGAAAACATAAAAAAATATGAAAATTTTCTCCAGAAGGTAGAAATTACAAATATAAGATATGCATATTGTTAATTTTTATCATTAATTAATGTCAGGATTTATAGAATTTCCACTATATCTAGACAAAATATTTCAGTGTTTTCCACATTACTGAAACAAGCATGTAGAAATTATTTGTTTTGACAGTTCTCCCCCCAAAATAGAATAAAATTGGACACATTGTTTTGAAAAGTTTTCATTTCCAAGTAAATGTAGTTTTCTGACAGGTCTGTCTGTCCCACCAGCTATTTTGCCCAGCTTAGAGCTGCTTCCTGTTTTAACTGAGCCCAAATGACATGCTTTTTACATCATACAGGAGTTGGTGACTTGCCTTGCATCAGCGCTCCTGGCTTGCAAGATTTGTTCTCATCCTTAGAGAAGAACTTGGATACGTTCGTCTTTGACAGCTGCATTAGCCTGGCACATGCATCAAGAACAAGTGTCAGCATTCAGTATTGTTCAAAACATGAAGCTATGTCTGACCCTACCCTTTTAAAAACTGGGAAGAGATCTGAGGTACTGTTAACTTCCTTCTGCTTTCCCAGCACAGGAAGGACATCAGTCTTTATCACTAAGGCTAGAGGAGGCCTGTCAGGGTGATTAGAAGGATGCAGCACCTCTCCCATGAGGAAAGGCTGAGAGACCTGGGTTTGTTCAGCCTGGAGAAGAGATGGAATAGGGGTAGCCTAATTGTGGCCTTCCAGTACCTGAAGGGAACCTACAAGAAAGATGGTATACACTATTTGCAACAGCAAATACTGACAGAACAAGTGAGAGTGGCTTCAAACTGAGAGTACGTTTAGATTAGATATTAGGAAGAAATTCTTCACTGTCAGGATGGTAAGACACTGGAATAGGTTGCCTGGAGAAATTGTGGATGTCTCATGTCTGGAAGTTCCAGGACAGATTGGATGGGGCTTTGACCATCTTGGTCTAGTGAAAAATGTCCCTGTCACTAGCAGGGGTATTGGAACCAGGTGATCTTTAAGGTACCTTCCAACCCTGGCCATTCTGTGGTTCTGTGATTCTGTATTCACGTAATGGCTTGGCATCTAGAAATTTGTGAAACAACATGCTATTTCATAACAGATGAATCTGTCTGTGTATTTTCACTTGGACTTTGAAGAAATGCTTTTCCTAATGTTCTTTCTTCTATAGGAATTATTTATTTGATCACTGCCATTTTTCTTCTTAGGGAAAAGGAAACTAACCCATAACAATGTGATGTCTGGTATATTCCTTCTCTTTACAAATTAAACAACTGCTCTAGTTAAAAGAGTTTTACACTGACTTAGGAGCCTAGAATGGAAATTCCTGTTCTCAAATATAACTCTTCCCAGTGTGAGAATCTAAAGATTGATGAAACGCGGGCAGCTTCTCTCGCCGCGATACCCTGAGTGGTGGCGTGCTGGGCGGAGAGAGGGAAGAGAACGGGCGGCCGCTCCTCCTGTGAGCTCTGCTGTCCCAGTTGTCAGCACGGGGACAGACGGAGGCGACACGGGACTTGGGGGTGAACAGGGTGGTTTTAGTCAGCGAGCCCCAAGACCCTCCAGGGAGGATGAACAAAGGTTTTATACCAGAACTCAAGAGGAGGGGTTTAGGAACAGCAACCAATGAGGGTAGGACTGGGGAGGAGTCTAAGGAGGGACTAACATATCACAAACCTATCAGGGGAAACCGGGAATGGAGTAACACAAAATAACCAATACGGTGTTGAGCCTCACCAAACAGACAGGGAATTCTCTGGAAACAAGGGAGGGGATTAGGAGGAATGACAGGGAATGTTCTGGGGAAAGGGGTAGGGAAAGGGAGGATTGACAACTTGGAGAGGAGAGGGTAAGGGAAGAGTTTGGGAAGATTGACAACTGGGGAAGGAAGGAGATTAGGGAGGGGGGGGTTAAACATACACAGGACAAATACCAAATCAAAGAAAACCACACCACAACAGATTTCTCCTTTAAAAAAAGTATCCAAACAGTGGTTTAGTTACAATTAGGGTTGATGTTGGTATTGGTTTTTAATAGTTGCTAAAACAATGGCTGTTCTGTCATCTGTTTTCAACCAGCTTGATATACCCAGCCAGTTCTCAGAATTAACTGTTACAGCATTTTTGAGAGAAAGAGGGCATGAATTGTGAAAGTTGAGCTACTCCAGGCTAGGCCTCAGATTAAGGCCTGGTGGGGCCCTCAAAGCCTCTGACGCAGTTAGAAATTCAGGGTTGTGGCGCAGATAGAAAATAGTCTTAAGGTATTGTAGGGACCACCGGGGGTGAACTAGTATAGGTTTTATGGTGTACAGTGCAGGCCGTTTTAAGGAAAAGGTAAACAATGTTAGCCTACCAATCAGAGTGTCTTTGTTTCTGTAAACTATATAGAAGCTCATATAAACTACCGCCTGATTTTGAATAAACGGAAAACGCTTGATGAACCACATTGGTTTGAACCTGCGTTTGTCTTGTCCAGCTTTCCGTTTTTCTGAGATTCCCTGGCTTTAAGTGGCGCCCGCACAGGGACTCAGGAGGCTCCGAGAAGGCTGCCAAATTACTTTTAGAGTAACGGGCAGTCAGGTTTGAGTCGCGCGACAGGAATTTAGGTCCAAATCGCCTCATGGTGACGGGACCGGGATCCCAAATTCACTTTTTGTGAACGGGGATCAGGTGGAACGGAGCAGAAGTCTCCAAACTCCGAATTGGGCCGTTTCCCAACGGGAGGAAAAAGACTCTTCGCATTGTTGTTTGTTTGCGAGAGTCCGTTGGAGCAGTGGGAAGACCTCGGTGTTCACAAGGTACCTGAACGGCGGGTGTGGACGTGGCCGGGGCCGGAGAGCTGGAGCGGGGTGCTGCTTTGCCGAAGAAAAGCGAGAGCGAAGCAACCCGCGGAGGTGAGGTAAGCCGCGTGCAGAAAGAGAGGGTGAAAGTTCACCATGGATGGAGATTTACAGGCTTCAGTGCGGCTGCTCTTTCATATTCTCTCAAAGAGAGCTGAAAAAGTTAAAGAAGCCGATTTAGAACAGTTGGTCATTTGGGCAAGAAGCAAAGGCAAGCTGCAAAAACCTTCCCTGCTTTTTAGTGAAACCGAGTGGCGAGAGCTGGGCCAGCTGCTCTGGGATGCAGTGATAGAGGGCAAAAAGGACAAGAAAACACTATTAGAGCTTGGAGGTGTTTGGAAGAAAGTTTCACATACCTTACAAAGCATGGCCGCGGAGAAAGAGGCAGCGGAAGCTGCCATTCGAGCATTCGAGCAGTCTACAGCAGAACAAATAGAAACGCGAAAGCCATCGCGGGTTGAAAAATTCTTTAATGTTTGTAATATGCGGCCAGTGCGCGGGCAGAAAGCCCCAGTCAGCCCCTCTGTCAGAGATGTTGTCGCTCGTTTGGAGGGCGGCACGGAGCTGGGCAGCGCGGGGCCGGCCGGCGCGAGACGGAGCGGGGTTGCGGCCGCGCCCGGAGCGGAAGTGTGCTCCCGAGCAGCGGATGTTAACAGCTCGGCGGTTCCGCGAAGTGAAGCAGACCAGGAAGTGACCCTCCCGGGTCCCTTGGGAGGCGGGGAGACACCTGAGGAGGCAGGCGGAGCTGGTGACGAAACAGGGCTGAGTCAGGAGGAGGAACTCGGGGGCGGAGATCAAGGCAGAGACCAGGGCGGAGACGGGAGCGGGGCGGCGTCGGCCCCTCGCCCCCCCGCAGCGGCTGCGGCTGCCGCGGCTGCGTGCAAACGCAGAGGAGCGGCCCGCCGATACCCGCCGGCGGCGGCGGCCGCGGCCAGCAGCCTGGCGCGGTTTGGAGGGGCTGGACACCTCAATGCTAGCGGGGTGGCAGAAGTAGCCACCCAAACAACACCAGAGCACAGCCCCGAAAATGCCAGTTCCCACCCCACCACCGTGGCGCGGCACTGCCCACTCCCACCGAGTTCAGATTCTGACGACTCAGAGCCAGACTTTCCGGTTGTCAATTGCAGCAGGGACAAGCGATCACAGAACAAGATACAAAGACCAAATACGTTACAGGAAAAAATAGCCCGCCTTGCCACCCTTTCAAATCGTCAGGCTCAACCAGTGGAACCTTCCACTGGACAGCAATTGGCATCGCCAGCAGTTTTAAAAAATCCCTTGCAGTCCCGATGGGCGTCAGTTGTGAAAGATGCTCTTTTAGACGGTGACTGGAAAGCTGCCAGCTCCCTGGTTTGTCCTGTCATAGTGTCTAATGGGAATGCCATCTGGGAGCCCCATGACTGGAAAATCCTACAATCAGCTAAGCAGACAGTCACCACTTATGGGATCAGATCAGAAGCAGCCAGGAACATCATTCAGTATATATTCACAGCAGATGTGCTTTGTCCTAGTGATTCGTCTAACATTGCATCCCTGCTTCTGACACCTTCTCAATTCCTCATGTTTGAAAGGGAATGGAAACGGTTGGCAGTTGAGGAGGCCAACAAACATACAGATGCGGGAGACCCCTTTTTTGGAGTCCAGCCAGATATGCTGACTGGGCAGGGACCATATGCAACCAATCAGGTGCAACTTACCTTTCCTATTGAAATACATCAATTGTCACAGCAATTGGCTCATCAAGCTTTGCTTTTGGTACCGGACAAGAAAAAGTCAGCATCCTATGCCACCATAAAGCAAGGAGCCACTGAACCATTCGGACAATTTATTGATAGGCTGTCAGCTGCTTTAAAGGATGCACCTGACGTGCCACCAGACGTTCAGGAACATTTATTCCGATCCCTTGCTTTTGAGAATGCTAACCCACCCACCAGAACCATCCTAGCCACCCTCCCTCAGGGCTGTCCAGTCGATGAGATGCTTGTCAGAGCCACACGCGCAGAACAGAGCAACCAAGCTGCGGCATTCGCCGCAACCATCCAGGATGCAATTGAACAACAAGGACACATAATTGCAGCTGCTTTATCAAGCAACAATACAAGGAGACAGAAGACGTAATGAAAAACTATAGCAATACTGAGTGTTTTCCAAGAAACCAAGAGGGATGGACATTATGCAAATCAAAGTTATTTCAAATACAATGTGGATGAAAATTACTGTAAAACAACAAAGGATAGAAATGTTAATAATTATTTAATTGCTAAAAATGTCTTTGAAAGCAAGGATTTGAGAAAAATCAGTCAAATGGAATGTTGGTATTAAGTTCACAATTTCTGTTTTTGAGATTTTATAAATAATAATATAAGTAATTATGATTTTTGAGTTTTGTAGATAATAAGATAAATGATAATTGTCAAGTTTTTGTAGGTAATGATAAATAGTAATGATTGTTACTAATGTTATATGAATGCTTGACAAGATTGTTTTAAACTATTTTAAACATTTTTTGTTAATAGGTTGATCATATAATGTAAGTTGTCTGATTTTTGTGATAAGAATTATTATTAAGATGTTAAGGTATTGAGGTGTTGTTTTAATATTTACAGTCAGTTTTCATATGTTTTATGGGGATTTTTTTTTTAGGTGATTGATTGTGAGATGTATTTTTCAGGATCCTGTGTGCTTGATTTTTTAACTACTCATGTGTTTTCTTTATTCAATTTTCTATGCAGCTGCAGTTCATCTTTTAGAAATTTATAGTCCAAGTTCTAGTTCAAGATTTCAGACTTCAAATTCTCAGATTTTTGAAGAAAAGGTTTGTTGTATTTAGAGAATTTTTGTCTTGAAACAAATTTTAGACAGGTTCAATCATTTGATGTTTTGATAAACTGTTAATAATAAGGTTTTTCACTTATAACTGTTATTTTTAAGACTTCTGTTTTAAACATATCCTCCAATTAGAGTTTGAGCTCTGGCCAGGCTCTGGCTCTACGTGGATGGTGTGATTGATTCCAGGTGTTTTCTGCATCAAAAAAGTATTCAAGTCCTTTTGGCTTGACAATTTGACCATACAGGACAGCTGAGCCTCAAAGGAGGTTTTGGAGAGACATGATCCGGACATGTTTTATCCGAATCTCTGTTGTTTTAAGGTTTTTCAGCTGCTGCAGACTCTGGGATGACAATTTGATAGTGTAGCACTTGGTAACTGTGATTTTATATGTAATATTGATTGTGTATTATTTGATTGATTTTTATTTGTTGTTAGTTTCTTTCCTATATGCATTGTTTTGTTCTTAATGTTTTTCATGTTTATAACAAAGATGTTGATATTTCCATTTCTTCACGCAAGTTTTAGGGAACAGAATTGAGAGAGGACCCTCCAGTCCCTGTGGGAGTGTTGGGTTTGTTTGTGTTTTAACAGGTGCAGAATCTGGATGGATTTCAGTGAAGACTGTGGAACTTCTCAATTGCAAGAGGGCACTGATCTCTCCACAAGTGGATCAGAGGATGCACAGCAAAAGTGGATTGTGCAAAGATTTGTGTTTCACCCACAGAAGATCGTGGCCTTTGAGTTTTTTTTATAAGTGTGTTTTTAATGATGTTATAGATTTTTTTTTGCTAAGTTTTTAATAAGTTTTAGTAATGCCTGTGATTTTTCTGTTCATCTTGCCATTGTCTTTCAATGGCAAAAGAAAAAGAGGGAGGTCCCAACGGGGATCAACAGAAATTCTACTTGAGTGAGTGTTTTTACCCATCCAACCAAGAAGTCGTGTGATGGACAGGACAGATGCTCTTGCTGCCTTGATACGAAAAGGCAGAAACAGAATTTTAAAAATAGATGAAACAGAAAAATAAGTTGAAATATCATAAGTGTGAAGTTAGATTTATCAGAAGTTAGTTTATTAGAAGTTATAGTTTATGTTTAGAATTAAGATTGTTTCTTTCATGTTAGACAGGGCATTCAAGAACCTGAGAAGAATGTGGTGGGCCTCAATGTTTTTATTTCGCACTTGTTTAATTTTTGGAGTCTCGTTGGGTCACATGGCAGAGTTCAAGACTTGGACCTGAGCTCAAATAAGTTTAAATAGCACTCTGGGAGCGCAAGCTGTTGCATTTGTGCAAAACCTTAAATTTACTGATGATAGTTTTCAAGAATTTGGTCTTTTGGGTTCTGTCCCAGGAAATTACTGTTTGATATTTGGATCTTATGCTACCAAACCAACTCAAGAAAATGGAAAATTGACAGATGACAACACTTGATTGTCTCCCAGATCACCATTGTATTACAACTATTTAGGATATTGTAACAATTCGACTCCAAGAGGTAGTGCAGGAAAAACTGCCCCCAGGAACCTTCCTCATTTGTGGGGACCGAGCCTGGTCAGCAGTCCCTCAAAATGCTAGGGGAGGCCCATGTTATATCGGTAGGTTGATGCTTTTTGCTCCCACCATACATCAGGTTCTCGAATTGCCTCAGAAGACTCAACGAGCCAAACGCAGTGTTCTCCAAATGGACACTTCATTTGATAACTGGCTCAATTCTTCAGGTTTTTCTGGCTGGGTCAAAGACAGTGTGTGCAAAAATTAGTTCATTGAGCCTTCACTCCAGCCTGAGTAGCTCAAAAGAAAAAGAGGGAATTGTTACAGCATTTTTGAGAGAAAGAGGGCATGAATTGTGAAAGTTGAGCTACTCCAGGCTAGGCCTCAGATTAAGGCCTGGTGGGGCCCTCAAAGCCTCTGACGCAGTTAGAAATTCAGGGTTGTGGCGCAGATAGAAAATAGTCTTAAGGTATTGTAGGGACCACCGGGGGTGAACTAGTATAGGTTTTATGGTGTACAGTGCAGGCCGTTTTAAGGAAAAGGTAAACAATGTTAGCCTACCAATCAGAGTGTCTTTGTTTCTGTAAACTATATAGAAGCTCATATAAACTACCGCCTGATTTTGAATAAACGGAAAACGCTTGATGAACCACATTGGTTTGAACCTGCGTTTGTCTTGTCCAGCTTTCCGTTTTTCTGAGATTCCCTGGCTTTAATTAACACTAAAATATAGCAGTAAAATAATTCACTCAGTCTCTTTTCATGAACTCACATTCTTGTGATGTTACATGGTCATTCTCAAGTACTCATGGTCATGTGAAAACTCTGTTTTGAAGGCTCAAATAATGTTTGGTACCAGAAAAAAACCAAGATTTCACAACTGTTAGAAATTGGTCAAGGACCAGAATGAACACAGTCATGTGTTCAAAAGCATGATTCATTTTAACAACAGGAAGCTGGTGAGCACTATTCTTACATATTATTTAAGCAACAAAAGGAAATAGGACTTGATGTAGCAGGAGGACAGAATCACAGAATACTTTGTTGGCATCTTGTCTTATAACACTCAAGTGAAGGAGACGTCTCTGTCTCTTTTTAAACACAGAACTGTCCATGTGCACATAATTGTTTCATATCAAGGTTAATGAGAAAAAAAAAATCATATTTAAATTTTGCATTCAGACAATAAATCTGTCAGGGTCCAAGAAGTCTCAGGTTTCCTGGGTCTACTGGTGAAAAGTAAGAGATACAAAAGGTTTTCTGCAGTCACTAATCAAATTAGGCTTTCAACCTTGACATAAACTGTGGAACCTCAAACTTAAACCCTTCCTCAGACTAAAGCTGTAGTTTGACTAAAGCAAGTGTTTGATCTTAAGTACAGAACAGGATAAATGCCTTTAATTCAGG